TAAATATCCAACATCGCGCCAACAACACAAGATGTAATCATAAAATCCACATCAAACCAACAATGCATAACCCACTTGCATCATCAAAACAAACCTGAAATCATTTTGTAAGGCTGTGAGTTAGTGAAGATCAATGTGTTGAAATCCAAACCACTCTTAGTCAAGATCTATGACGAGAAATGGATATTTCACAATAGTTTACTCAATCGCCTTCAGTTTATGTTTCATCTAGAAAATATGACAAGTTTTACATGAATTCTTAGAGCAAAAAAACCAAAATTCACATATATGCACTTGAAAAGATTATCTTTAATTTTGTGCTCAATACTAAAAATAACCCACGATGGCCAAATCTTGTCTTGTCACATTTTGACTTTAATTTTGTGAAATTTTTACAGGAATTTCTAGCCATGAGCAGATGGTCTAATCAGGTAAAGAAGAAGACGGACGGACGAATGAATAATTCTTCACAAGAATTTGCGAATCATCTCCACAATCCTTCGGGACGTTTCTCTGCCGGGATATGTTCAACAATACCTCTCCTTTCATAGTAATCTATCACCTGAACAAATTATCGCAAACAATAATCAATACATGTTCGATTTAGATATACATAAAAAAGAAACAAAAAAATTAAAAAACTATTGACAAAACGAAGACGAAACTAACTAACAGGTTTGGTTTGTTGGTGAAATTTCTCAAGCCTTGATTTGAAAACCTCACGAGTGTCGTCCTTCCGTTGGATTAAAGCCTCCCCAGTAACCTAATATAGGTTTTACAATCACATTCGTTTGTTAATTACAACTACTAAAACCAAAACCAAAAAATGAAGAGCCAAAATGAACAAAAATAAAAAATAAAAAAAATGCTAGTGTTCTTACATCATCAATTCCATCAACTTTAGGAGGTGACGATTTGGTGTGATAGATCCTACCGCTTGGAATATGAACCCTACGTCCCGTAATCCTCTCCTCCAAAACCGAATCACTTGCTTCGAAATTAATCACCATATCAATCTTAGCTCCTCTTCTCTCAAGAATCTCTTCGAGCTGCCAAAATTTTAAATAAACAATAAATAAAAAAATCTTGTATATATATATATATATATATATATATATATATGTGTGTGTGTGTGTTTGCATGTAATATTTTATGCGAATTGAACCTTTTCTGCTTGAGCTACGTTCCTTGGGAAGCCGTCCAAAATGAAGCCATTTTGACATGAAGACGTGTCCAAAGCTTCCTCAATTAGTCCACTCACTAATTCGTCCGATTCAAACTCTCCCTTGAACATAAATAATTAATAACTAACTAATTAATAACTAATTAATTAATTAATAACGGCCTCCAAATTACACAATAGATGTATATTTTGTACCTTGGACATTGAGGACAAAAATTCCTGGCCTTTGGATCTCAACATATCCCCTGTCGAAATATGAAAGAGGTGATATTCATTCTTGATGATGGATGATTGGGTACCTTTACCCGAACCCGGAGGACCTACACAAACCCGACTTTTTATATTAATATGAGAACAAAATCTTTATTTGTCATAACATTAAAAAAAAAAATGTATATAATTTGGATTTGAGTACAAAATTAAACATACAGCAAAAAAAAAAAAATCATCATCACACACGAACTAAATAAAAACAACTAAATTAATGCATACAAAGGAATGGATTTGAGTACAGATAGATAGATAGATAGTTACCAATGAAAATAAGGAGTTTGGGGGAATGCTTTATCGGCTTATGATGTTCTTCGGTCATGATGCCAATAAACACAAAAGCTTGAAAACTTGCGTACATATATTCAGACACTGAAGTCACCTAATTTGAACAGGAGTAGAATAATTAAAGATATAAAATATTAGTTAAATCCCAATTAGCATCAGTTTCTAGTTCTACTTTCTATAATATATCTTCTATAATAAATAGATTAATTATTATCTATTAGACACTAATCATCTTTTTAATAAATGGTTTGAATTAGTAATAGGAGAAATTTCGGAAAAACACGTGAATCTTTATTAAACAAAATACGAAACCTATTTTTGTTTTTTTGTAACAAATTTGCGGATTCTTGTGTCAAAATCTGAATCTTATTTTTTACATATAATTTTTTTTTTTTTTTACCAAAATCTGAATTTCATTTTTCTTTTTGTAATAAATTTGGAGGTTCTTGTGTAAAAAAAGAAAAACGTGTCAATTATTTATAAAAAAAACTAAATATAAATTAATTTAAAAACCGTGTGAATTGGATATGGACGTGCCCTGCTACGATCTGCTTTCGTTAGTCTTTCCACAAGAGGTTGCTGTCAAGGCTTTCAATTAAGCTCTCGCTTCAATAGGCAAAAGCTTTAGGAGTGAGGCTTGCTAATGAGTAATTCCTGCTTGGTTATACTTGTACTCTTGCAGGAGTACGAATTCCGGTATTTCAATACAATATTGATACCCGTAAACCTCGCTCTAGGAGATCACAAGCACAGATGAGCCGGCCAACGAGCAAGGTACGGTGTTAAGGGGCGGTAGGCTACTGGAGCGAATCTTGTCAGAGCCTTACCTGGAACTGGCCATGAATCGCAAAGGTCATAACGAGGCCGCCAGCCCTAATCTAACCCAACCAACTTTTACAAGGAAAAATCGTGTGCAACTTTTCAAAAATTGAATGCACCAATTTTTTTGGATTCTTATGTTTTTTCTTAACCATGTTTTACCGAAATTTTGGTTAAGTTCATATCAATTATTTTGTTAGGTTCAAATCAATTTTTTAGGAAAGAAACAGTTGCATGAATCTTAACAAATTATTTTGATTTTTTTTTTATTAGTATTAATTTCAATCATTTTATTCGGTAAAGAAATCTATGCAATGTTAGAAAAATTTCGTTGCATTTTTAGGAAAAATTAATAATTCTTTTCACTTTGTTTTAACCATATATTTGGATCAATTTGTTTGGTAACAAAAAATCGGTGTACTGGTGAGAAAATTTGGTTTCATTTTTAGGAAAAACTAATGATTCTTTTCAATTTGTCTTAATCAAAATTTTGAATTAGATTTAAGAAAAAAAAAAGACGTGAAAATCCCTAAAAGTATCTACTTTTTTCTACTAATTTTTTGTTTAATAAATAAGATCCCTTAAATTTTTTAAGAACGTAATTGTTAACTAATAACTAATAATACACAATTGAGATAAAATTCGAATACTCATGTAGTATTTTACGTGCCAAGAATCAAACCTAGAATGTTGTATATAAGGAAATGTTCAATAATATATAAATTTCATTGTCATGATATTTTTAATCCTATGAGATAATTTAATTACAAAAAACTATATTATATATATATATATATATATATATATATATATATAATTACTAGCTAATAACATTTAAGAAAACCTATTTAATAAAACCTCTAAAATTTTTCCTCCATTTTCGGTTACAAAATTTATCATTAATGTTTTTCAATTCTCACATTAATAGATCCTATTGAGTGTAATCATGTATTTTTCTATTATATTGTATAATAATTAATGCTAATACCAACTAATAATAATTAACAATAAATATAAATTGCATAATTATAAACAATTATTTCAAGTTATTTATTTTAACATCAATATTATCTTTTTCTTTTGTATCTCATGAAAAAATTTCTCAAAAAACAATTAGTAAATTGTTTTAATAGCATAGTCAAACAACTTTAGAATCTTATAAACAATTGTTTTTGTAATAATAATAATAATCAAACTGCTATCATCTAATGATAATAAACAATTGTTCATAATAATAAACAATCATTAATTTATTTTTCCTAATGATTAAATTTTAAGAATGTAATATGTTCATTATCTAAAATTTTAATACTAAATTCTCAAATATTACTTATAATATTTTATGTACATATGTGCATGTGCACAAGATATTTACTAGTATCTTTTAAAAAGCAAGTAGATAATAAATGTTCTCGTATATTGTATGGGTACTGTTTTGTACTAGTAAATTCTAAAGAGACATACCGGAAATGGTAGTAATTTCATGAAATATTACTATTGAGCATTGAGGCATGTCTCGAAATTTAGTATAAGAGTGGGGCTGAAAATGAACAAATTATTTTATAAACAAATTGACCGAAGCTTCTTTTAGCTTGTTGTAGGTAGTGAATTAAGCTCGACCGTTTATTGGCTCCATTCTTACATTCTACTTGTTCATTGCTTTCGTTTTTTCTATTATGGCCTCTTAAGACAAGGTTAGTGATGTATATAATTCATATTTAATGAATCTATTACTTATTATCATTACCATTTTTATGACATGTACTTCTACAAAGCTTGTTCTCGTTATGAGGGACCAATTTGTTAATATTCTACAAAGCTTGTTCTCGTTATACGTTGGTGCTACTTAGGAGTGGGATTTTATAATCGAGAACCGAGTCGGATCGATTAAAGGTTGTTCTCTTATGCTTGGTTATTTTTGAATATTTCGGTGCCGATTTTCATTTATAACTCTTAGGACGTGCTTGGATACAAATATATCCGCTCAAAACAAGTTTTTTTGTTAATCATGGTTAATTTTGAAAAATGTAGTATGGTTAGTTGTTAGTGAGATTTTTAATTTATATAAATATAAATTTAAAATAGAAAAAATTAAAGTTGATTTGATGTAAAAATAGAAGAGAGATGATGAGATTCATAGTTAGTTAAAATTATGTGAGTAGATGAATAATGAATTATAATTGATGTGATGTGTAACAATGATTGAGTGTTATTATTTAATTATATTGATAATATTGAAGACAGTAAAGTTAAGTTAAAGTTGAATCAGATTTGAATAAAAAAAAATGATTGGTTAAAAATGATTGTACTTTTTGAAAGAAATTTGTATCTCTCTCGAAACTTCGTTCAAACGTTCCGATCTTTTCCAGTATTTCATTATGATTTGTATAACAATAAGAACTTAACACTGTGTGTACTATGTCAAACTTTATGTCAGCTATTCTACTCGAGTATTATTATCCTAAAACAACGAAAAATGCTACAAGTACATAATAAATGTACATAGAGATGTACATAACACTCATATGGAGTGTGGTCCACTTGATTTTTTATTTTTGATATGTCCCGCTCAATGTAAGTGTTATGTACATCTCTATGTACATCCCAATGTACCTATAGCATTTTTCTAAAAAAAAGAAGCATAACACGTTAAGCCATTGAAAACTATCATTCCCATAGGCCATAGCCCACTCTATCCTCAATTTCTAGAAACACTCAAAATTTTAGTGCTTCAAATAAAGGTTAAAGAGTTCATTTATACAGTGTTTTGAGACCCGGACCGGCCCGGCGGGTCGACCCGGAGCCGAAACCGGTCCGGGTGGAGTATTTGGACCGGGCAACCAAGGACCCGGTCAAAACCCAGCCGACCCGGCAGAGACCCGGCCGACCCGGGGCATTGACCCGGCCGAGTCAACCCGGTTGACCCGGTCCATATATATTTTTTATATTTTTTTATATTTTTTTTTTTGTTTTTTAAAAATAAAAATATATATATATGTTTATATGGTAAATATTTATCATGAAATACATATTATTAACACTTTAATATACAAATTTTATAAACAAAACATTTAATTTGTTACTTTTATGTATATTTATATAACAAAAATACTCTATATATAATTTTAAAAAATTTTAAATTAATTATTCGGTTCAACAATTGACCCGGTGACCCGACGACGGTTGAACCGGTGACCCGAGGACCTGCCCGGGTCGATCACCGGGCCGGGGTTAAAAACTACGCATTTATAGCACTAAAACAGAAATTCAAGAGTTCATTTAGCACTAATTTGAGACATTGTTAGGAATATTATTCAAGAGATCATTTTTGCACTAATTTAAGAAACATTGTCAGGAGAAAATATTCCTCCAATTCCTGGTGCTACATGATGAAGTTGAGCTCTATTCTCTACTCCTATACACACATTTATTAAACATCACAGTTACATTCTGGCCAATCAATGAATATACATACCAACATCAACCCTTAGGGTTTATCTCGAAACTCATTTCCGATTATAACTCACGCTGTAAAGGATATGCTGCAAATTCTTGATTGTAAATCGCCAAAATTGTAGCGTTCTGCTAAAAGAACCCAAAAAATGTGGCGACCGCGAAAACTAAAAATAGAACCCCACCAATGTACCCAACCTGATTACAAAACACAACAATCATAAAGTGAACTAAAACTTGTCATCTAGTATATGAAAAAGAGTTGATTTTTTTTTTCTTCCTTATTTCTTACCAATTTTTCAGAAATGTATTTGGCGAGAAATGCGCCACCGAGTATGGCAATGGATGTTGCCAGTAGATGGCCCACAATGGCTCCACTTGCAACACCCCATGGGGACTGTTGTACAGGAAAACATAAACGAGTTGTTTTGTAGATTCAAATTTTAAGAAATAAATTACGTAACATATTATCATCTGGATTGAGGCACAAATTGCAAAAACACCTCTCAAAGGTTTGTTTAGTTGAAGTGCAATAGCTAGATAGAGCAAAATGTTTTGTGGCTATTTGTAAATTCCAAAGATAATTAGAGAGAAAATTAGAACCTGTGCCGCACCAAGAGCTATTGTTGCAAGCATCGAGCGGTCTCCCCATTCCTGAAAGCAAAAATCATAAAAGGATAATTTCAAGCTCGTTCTAGAGAAAAAGTAAAGAAAAGCTTCTAAGCTTGTGTATTGTAGATGAAGTAACAGAATAAAACATAACTCAAACCNGTATAGTTTTTTTTTTTTTTTTTAAATAATAAGATGAAATGAAAAAACTTGCTGTTGTTAGACATGCTAAGTTGGATACCGTGAGAATAGGTAATTGTATAATGTCAATATTTTTGAACAGACATTTCTCTTGGTATTGCAACAACGAAAGAAAAGAACTTACAGCAAAAAATACAAGACTGAATGACTTCCAGAGGACTTCCAGGGGATTGGAAAGCCTTTTCGAAACCTGCCAGTGTACAAAACAAACAGAAATTACAGAAAAACCCAGTAAATGTTTGAAAAAATAATGAATACCCCCATAATGTATTACAAAACAAACAGAAATTACAATGAACCTCAATCAACGGTGACAGTTTTTCATTTACCCCAAAATTATCACGCATTATCCACCAACACTCCTACAAACAGATATTATTACTATGAGAAAGATATCACCTTTTCCTTTACAAGCTCTTCAGCTTCACTGAATTCGTCAGACTCCTTGTTTTCGGGCTCTCCAGCTTTAGCTGCTGTAGATGGTAGGTCCCATGCATCTTTAATCGATTTAAGACCGAAAAACATCAAAAGGGTAACAGCTAAATATTCTCCAATCGGCAAAGCTGTCCAGGGATTAGCACACTGTCACAAATTTTCAAACTAAAACTAAATAACACCAAACTTTTTATATTATCATCCTCAATTAATATTATTTCATCAGATGAGATGTAAGTCTAATCTAGATATTTTTCGGAGATAGTAACAAATGAGACGATGCAAGGAAATAGCTTACTTGTCTGAAACTGAGCAGGCACAGAATGAAATATCCTACCAATTATGACAGACAAGATAGTCATTAGTGATAGAGCACCCATTGATCCAAGAAGGACCTGCTCACCAATTAACAAATAGTAAGACCACGATATTTTCTTTTGTTGATCCAACAAAAGCTACTAGTGTGCAGTTCTAGTGTTAGTCAATGAATACGAAATAAATAATAGAAAACTGAAAATTACATGGGATATGCATGAAGTATTTAAGTTAATTATCCAAGCTCGTAAAAGTAACAATGTTAGTTTATCCCAATAAACTTAACTTTAGTTAAGAGCTAATAGAAAATGTGAACACTAGTATATTCCAAAACAGCAGTCATTCATGTATATGTATATAGTGTGTGTGTGTGAGAGAGAGAGAGAGAGAGATACCAGCAGCTTATCATATTGCATGGCCAAGAGAGCAGCAATGAAAAAGGTCTGTTAAAACAAAGCAAAGTTAATGCTGAGCAAGATTTGACACGTGCTGGCGCAGTTGAGAATAGAAACAGTACATTAACATATAAACTTCTGCTTGCACTCATTTATGTTAAGCATTCATGTCCTGAAAATAAGTTTTTTAGTAGGCATCAGCCATCAACATCAAAATTACATTGACTTAATGACAACAAGTATCTACATAGTACATATTATAATATCAATGTGATTTTGAGTTCACTGTTTGCCACGGGTAAATGGAATCCTAATCTATGCAGGATTTCTGCTTAAATTATTACTAAGAGAAGGAAAAAAGTTGCTAGTATAGCTCTAGCTAATAAGGAAGAATTAAAATTCAGAAATGGCCAAAGACAACTTCATAAGAATCACCTCTTATTGCAGTGTTTTTACCTTGTCTCCAATCTCGGAAACAAATATCAAAGAGAATGCAGCTGTGAAGCCCGACTTTGCGAGGGCTGGTAATAGTGATGAAGGTCCTTTTGTAAAGAGAAAAAGTAAAAATCCTGCAGCGCATGCACAAAGCAAAAGTGCTGTAGGAAATAAATTCGGAACTTGATCATGAGATGCCTCGCTGTCATGAAGTCAAACAATTAGTCGGGACAAATTGGTAAATGTCTAATCGATACATTTTGGAGCAAAATCACGAGTAAAATACCAGACAATTATAAGGTGCTCCACATACGCTTTACTGTTGTACTACTTACATTGAAAAAAGCAAAAATAAATACATTCAACATAATATTCTTGCTAATTTAGTGGGAAAGTTACACTACATTCTACATAAAAAGTTCTTGATAATTTAATGGGAAAATTACACAAACTATCTACTTCTTACAGGTAGAATACAGAATAAAAGCAACAAACTTCCAATTATACACAAAAAGAAAATCTCGCGAAGTTTGATTTTTCTTAACATTGAGGGAGACAGAATCAAATCTCAAGGCGTTTCCATAATTTTGAACTCCCCTAAGTCTTTCCATTTTGTAAATGCAACAAACCTTAGGTACTTTTCATAATTAGCTCTAATTTATATTTAATACCTCAAAACATGATTAGCCAATCCTTCACTTGAGTTCCTTTCGTCTTTATAGCTTAAGAAGACTCACAGATTCACATAATACTCATAATCAAAACATTGGAATCCAGATAAAGAAGCCTTTCTCCAACGTAGGATTTATAATTCAAATTTTCTAATGAGCATGAATTACTAACATTTTAGAAGAATCATCACTATGATGGGCATCAGCAGATGTTCTGTGGCTATCATCATTTTCTTGCCTCTCTTCATAGCCGTCAGACCCACTTCCCACATTTAATGCATGTGCTCTAATTGTTCTTTGTCCACCAGCATCTGACTTTGATACCTCCCTGCATCTCACTGTGGAAAATAAAAAAAGAAAAAATCAATTACCAATATAAAGACAGGTTATTTTTTTATTAGAAAATAGAAACGACAGACATATTGAGAATGCTAAGTGCTTGATCATGCTAAGAGCATTTTGTTGAATGAGCCATATAAAATTATAATGAAATACTAAGATAACAAAACATATCGCAATTATCGAGCATTCCAATAAATGCCGAATGATGGTTATGACATGCAGTAGAGAGCTCAGACTCCAAAAGATAAAGGTGCTCAAAAAATGTATATGCAGTAAGTTTCACTTCTACTATTCATAGAATCTGGAAAAACAACATGATAAGCTCCTAATTTAGAATAAGATTCGGTTGCTAATGAAGGCTCCTGTCCAACTTGATCATACTCCTTTTCTTGACTATGGTAAAAATATGCTTAGAGTTCACAGAGGAAACACAACTCCAAATCATCAATCATGCATGATGAGCATATTACAGAACTTTGATCAGTTGACATAATATTACAACTGTATGTCTATAACAAAAGTCAATGTGGAGATTTGAATGTGCATTCTACCATATCAATTCGAACACCTACTTCAGTCTTTTCATAAGTTCTTTCCTTTTTTTCGTCTTCCAAGTGATAGGACTTTAATAATCTTGGTAAAGGATAAACTTGGTTCCAACAGATATTCTCAAGGCATAACGGTCCAGATATCGAAAACCTATAAAGTTCTATGAATTATATCTTTTCTGTTTTCCTAGGAAATCTCAAAGTCAGATGTACAGTTCAAAAGAAATGTTCACTACAACTTTACTCTTTAGTGGTAGAAGTCTCTGCTTTCAAGTCAATCAACCACAGTTCAGTCCCAGTGACTGTCTGTGCTCCCTCTTCTGATCTGATATCCCAATAATTGATCTCACAAAGCCAAAACTACTATATAGAGATACAGATATACTAACATAAAAATGTAATATCTCATACCCCAAAATACTCAACCACCAAACAACTAAAGATAGTAAAACTAAAATTTTATAACATAATCTTCAAAAGAAGTAGAAACAAACAAATACTTAACACAATTACTTCGCATAAGCAGATCCCAGCTCAACTCCGGTTAAGCTGCTGAAGGTCTCATGATTAATTTCACACAGAGGACACACAACCCAACTAGAATCAAGCACAAAGATGCATTCTTTACTGGTATTATCAGCAACTCAATATGGATAATCCCACTAGCTCAAGAA